TCTATCTATCTATCTATCTATCTATCTATCTATCTATCTATCTATCTATCTATCTATTTATCTATCCATACATACATACATATAATTTTTTTCCCTCCCACTACCCTAATACTGACTAAGGACTCATGAGTTACAAATATTATCTTTCCATGCAGGAATGTAAGCATTTCAATCTTAATAAGTCTCTTACGATTTTCCTTTCTTGTTTACCTCTTCACATTTCACTTGAGTCTTGTATTTGAAAGTCAAATTTTCTATTCAGCTCTGGCCTTTTCATCAAGAATGCTTGAAAGTCCCCTATTTCACTGAATATCTATTTTTCACCCTGAAGGATTATATTCAGTTTTGCTGGGTAGATGACTCTTGGTTGTAATGTTATCTCCTTTGCCCTCCGGAATAGTATATTCCATGTCCTCCATCCAGGTTGTCTTGGTATGGAAATTTGTTTCACTTTGTCTTTTTGTGGATTCTGTTGCTTTAGAATTTGTTTAGAGTCATTTTTATAGGAATTTGGTGTGGTTTGGGGGAGAGCTCAAGTAAGTCACTACTTTTACTCCACCATCTTGGCTGCACTCCCTTTCTGAGCCATTTTAAACATAACTTTGTTGAAGAAATATCTGATTCTTCTATTTTACCTCCTGAATAATGTGTGCATTCCCTTTCCTACCCAAATGACTATAGACTATTTTCCTACTATTTGTTTTTCTTTTGTAGTAGAAGGCTGATATTAATGTGCCTTACTAGTAGTGGGTATGATATTCATATGCAAAAATAAAACAAAATTTAAATGCATGTGCATGTGTGTTTATATCTGAATGTATTTTGATAAGACCAAGTGCGTGATTAAGATCCAAGTGCATTTGCAGTGTTGAAGTATAATATTCAGAGTTAATCAATATGGGGTTATCTCATTGAAAGTGGAACATGGATTTTTCCTTATTAAGACATTTTAGGAAAAAAAATCTGTAGTAAAGATCTGAGATAAATGCAAGTGCTATCATTGTGATTCTGAAAATATTAGCTTACAAGTTCTCAGATGGTATACCTAAACACAAAATATTAAGCCATGACTGGGGGTGGAGCCAAGATGGCAGAATAAAAGCTGTGACTTGCTTGAGTTTTCCCCCAAACCCCTCAAAATACCCATAAAAATGACTCTAAACAAATTCTAAAGCAGCAGAACCCACAAAAAGACAGAGTGAAACAAATTTCCAGTCCAAGACAACCTGGATAGTTGATGGGAAAGGTCTGTTGCACCAGACTGGGAGAGGAGCACAGTTCAGTGTGGGCCACACAGGCAAAGATGGGACCCCAACAAACCTGCAACAGGCCTCAGGAGACTGAATCATGGGATGCTGTGGTGATTTCCAGACTTCTCAACCCACAAATGCCAAAGACAACTTAGAAGGTCAGTGGGAAAGGTTTGTTGTACCTGGGTGAGAGAGGAGCACTGTGTGGCCCCAGCCCTGGCATAACCCAGAGGTGGCAGCCACAGCAGCAGTGGTTGCTTCCAGGCTCTTGGTGTACAGAAATTGGGGAGATTGAGCAGCTGATCAGAGGGGGATTGCAGAGATCTCTTTTCTTGTGTAAAAGCAGGATTATCTTGCTTTCCCCATGCTTAGATCAGGATCATAGTCTTGGGTGGTGGTCCTGGGGCAAGGAGGAGCATTGGTACGTTGAAGCTTGTGGTGGCAGTGGAGAGAAAATCCTCCTCACTGTTCCAAGGCAGAAAAAAGTGTTTGTGATCACTCATAGACCAGAGCACAGGCCAGGAAAGGAGTAAACACCTCTGCTTTGATCATACCACCTTGGAAGAACTGAAAACTTACAGATCTCTAGAAATATCTCTGAAAACAGCTGCAAGAAACAACTGAAGCTTGGGACAATACACCCTTCACACTGGAAGCAGAGCCCTGCCTTAACAAAGAGTTTAAAGGTCAATTAATTGACTGGGAACATGAGCAAACAGCAAGAAAAAAACTCAGACCATAGAATCTTACTTTGGTGGCAAAGAAGATCAAAACATACTACCAGAAGACAACAAAGTTAAAGCTCCTACCCACAAAGCTTCCAATAAAAATATGAATTGCTCTCAGTCCATGGAAGAGCTCAAAAATGATTTTGAAAAGCAAGTAAGAGAAATAGAGGAAAAATTAAGAAATGAGTGTGATGCAAGAAAATCATGAAAAAAGAGTCAACAGCTTGCAAAAGGAGACTCAAAAAAATACTGAAGAAAATAACACCTTAAAAATAGACTAAGCCAAATGTCAAAAGAGGCCCAAAAATTCAATGAGGGGAAGAGTTCTTTAAAAAGCAGAATTGTTCAAATGAAAAGGAAGTCCAAAAGCTTACTGAAGGAAATAATTCCTTAAAAATTAAAATGGAGCAAATGGAAGTTAAAGACTCTATGAAAAATTAAGAAATTACAAAGCAAAACCAAAAGAATAAAGAAATAGAAAACAATGTGAAAAAATCTAATTAGAAAAACAACTGACCTGGAAAATAGATCCAGAAGAGATAATTTAAAAATTGTTGGACTACCTGAAAACAATGGTAAAAAAAAAAGCCTAGACATTCTCTTTCAAGAAATTATCAAAAAACTGCCCTGATATTCTAGAACCAGAGGGTAAAACAGAAATTGAATGAATCCACCAATTACATCTTGAAAAATGAACCAAAAGGAAAACTCCTAAAAACATTATAGCCAAATTCCAGAGTTCCCAGGTCAAGGAGAAAATATTATAAGCAGTCAAAAAGAAACAATTCAAGTATTGTAGAAATACAACCAGGATAACACAAGATTTAGCAACTTCTATATTAAGGAATTGGAGGGCTTGGAATATGATATTCCTGAAAGTCAAAGGAGTTAGGATTACAACCAAGAATCACTTGCCCAGCAAAACTGAGTATAGTCTTTCAGGTTAAACAATTGACATTCAATGAAATAAAGGACTTTCAAGCATTCTTTAAAAATGACTGTAAACATTCAACAATGGCAGAAACCACAAAAAGACAGTGAAACAAATTTCCATCCCGAGACAACTTGGAAGGTCGGCAGGAAAGCTCTGTTGCTTACCAGAGTGAGAAAGGAGTGTAGTTGGGGGCAGACTGCATCAGTCCAGACCTGGCCACCTCAAAATAGGAGAAGGGTTTGGGGTGACTGAATCATTGGCATCAGTGGTGGTTTCCAGACTTCTAAGCCCATAGATGCCAAAGACAACTTAGAAGGTCAGTGGGAAAGGTCTGTTGCACCTGAGTGAGAGCTGAGCTCGGTCCAGCACAAGCCATGCCAGCCTAGCACCTGCAACTACAAAACAGGTGCAGGCCTTGGGTGTGACTGAATCAGCATCTGCAGTGGCTATTTCTGGAGCTCTCAGTCCACAGATGGTAAGGGGATCAAACAACTGGTCAGGAGGAGATTACAAGGGTTCTTTGCTAGCACTAGGGCAGGACAAAAACAAACAAACAAACAAAAAAAACAAAAAAAGAGCCTAGACATTATAGTTCAAGAAACTATAAAACTTTCTGATTATCTTAGATTTAGGGAGTAAAATAGAAAGAATCCACTGATCATCTCCTGAAAGAGATCACAAAATGAAAGCTCCTAAGACTATAATAGCCAAACACCAGAGTTCTTACATCA